TTTTATGCCCCTCTTAGGGCCGTTTTTTGAGTGTTCACCACCGGTTTCAGTAAAAAAATTTAAAGTTAGCCAAATCTTACTGTTAAAAAGTAATTATTTCATACCAATGCGTCAATAAAGTAACCTCGTTATTTTTTGATGTATGGCTGTAGAAATTGCAGAACTTTACTTAAGTTGTTAAAAAATATATCGTCGATGTTTTTGCAAAACCGCCTATCGACCGGTTGCAAAACCGCCTAAATCGCCGTTGTGGCAAAATGAGATTTGGTAACCCTGAACTCCAAGCATCGATATTAATGCATAAAAATCGTTAAATCGTTATTAAAACAACAGATTTGTAAAATCATAGCTACAGAGAATACCGCCTTTAATTGCAATGCCCTCAAAGAATATACCGTTTTTTCGCTCTCCTGTAAAATTTGAGTGCCGTAAGATAGGCGGTTTTGCAATTGGGCGATGGGCAGTTTTGCAAAAACATCGACGATATGTAGAATGAAATTTATATAAAGTAGAAAAGGTTTAGATCCTACTGCTCTTTAAAAAATAAAGTGTTAGAAATGTTCCGCTTTATAGAAAATGCTAAAAATTACCTAAATATGTAACATATTATCATTACTTGCCTCGCGTTCTTATTTTTGCATGAATAGAAAATATTTAAGTCAAACAATTAATGTCAGAAACGAAAATAAAAAATTCAATCGAATAAGGAAAATTTGTTTTGCCCCGACTTTTGCAGCGATTTAGTCCTGAATCGAGTTTTGGAGCTCCGAACACTGTTGTCTACATTTGTACTGTTTAATAAACCTCAAACCGCAGTGTGGACAGCAATAGTTAGCGATGTGGTTAAGTTCGATTTGAGATGGTTAACTTTTTGGTGGGGACTTGGTATTACAATGATATGATATGTTTTTTTTGCTAAAAATTACTTGTTTTATTATAATGATTGCGTTTATTTTTTATATCTAAGAAATGGAACTTAGTGGGAATAAGATTGACTAATGAGATAAGTGGGCGTCTGGTAAAGACTGAGAGTAAAGAAAAGCAGAAAAAACAATACAAATAAATTTTTTATTTCTTATAAATGTTTTGATTCGCCATTATAAGGATATTAATGAGAAACCCAAAATATACACACGTAAATAGAATAAGAATATGTATGGATGTATGTATTACTTAAAAGAAAACTCAATAAAACGAAGGTCTGCATTTCATATCCATGCACACATACATATGTATGTATATATGTGTGTATCTATATGCATGTACTTATGTATAAAGTGCATAGTTATTTAATGAACAGTAGCGCAGAATGAGCAAATATTTCTGAATTCGTCACTTTAGATATACATAGATTTCTAGTGAAAAAACTGAAAAAAATTAGTTTTTAAAAAGTACCACTTTTCGCCGATTCTGGACTGGTGTGGAACTAGCTACTAGCGGACTGGTTGGTTTTTCGCGATAAAGACCTAGAACAGAACTAGAAATTTGATTCACAAGTCCGCGGTTTCCCTGCAGGGTGGGAAGACTTTTAAAAAATTAAATTACAATACCGTCTTAAAAATCTGAAAATTCACTGCGGGAATTTTATTTATTCTCTTTTTGTCTTCGCCTTCTCATTTTTGCCTTTATAAGTTTCAAAAAAAAGATTTTTAAAGGAACCATTATATCACATTCCTAGGCAAGTTTTGAAAGAATATTTTCGATACCAAATTTTACTAAAATAAAATGTTGAAATCAGCTTCATATAGAAAAAGTGTCATCGTTAATTAAGAAAGATATGTTCTTAAATATCATAACTTTACGACACTCACATATTGAGTAGATTTGACTATTTATCTTATTATATTTTAATATGAATTATTTGTTTATAAAAATATAGTTTATTCCTTAACAAACACTAAATGAAATTAAGTTTTATCTTTGAACAACATTAAAAAAAATCGACAAACTTTCTACAGTATATTTTGCTTAGCTGCACATCCTTCTTTGCACGAAAAACTTGTGCACTTAACCGAAAAAGGCACTTAAGCGAATTTTCTTTACTACTTCAATGAGGAAGGTATCCGAATCTCTATGAAACCAAATATTGGCGGAGCACTTACCATGTAGAAATTACTGCAAGCGAAATTTTTACCGAATGTTATCTAATTATCTATATAAATACATAAATTGATAGCCGTTTTCGTTGTTCTGCGAGATGAGCAAAATAAATAAAAGGTTGTAAAATAGGTAATTGTAAGGCCAGTGCAGGTAAACGTAATACTTTCATTGATAATTGATACTAGTCGCACAATTTTTAAGGCAGGTATCGCCAATGTGCAGGTATGTTGAATGCATCTATCGGAGCAGTTTCCTTATAAATGTTAAAAATAATGCTTTTGATACGCATTTTGGGGTAGATATCTTAAATGTGCACTTAAGCATAGAGGCAGCAAAGCAAAATATACTGTATTTCAATTTGATCTCTTAATATTTTGCAGTTTTTTAGCTCATTCAATTTTAGTCTAATAAAGCGCAAAGTAGCTGATTTTAGTAGTTAAAGTAGCTGTGATTTACAGTTGATGTATGGCATATTTTTGACGATGTCGGTAATTTTCTTCCATATTATCTAAGTATGTTTGACGATTTTTTAATGAAGAAAATGAGAAACGCCTTCATCAAAAAAACAAAATATTAAAAATCAACGATAAGCCGCAGCTATGTATTTTAAACTTGCGCTTTATTCGAATTGATCGGGCTACAAAACTGCATACTCAAAATATGTATTTATAGGAAATCGAATTAAAAAGCTTTACGAAAGTTTGGACCTTGGATTTATACGGGTTTTGTTAAAGTGTAAACTGCACTTTTATAAACAAATAATTAAAATTATATAATTTTAAGGTAATCTAGTTAACATGTATAAAGTTTTGATAAGCACTTGAAATGTCAAGTTTTAGTACTGAATTCAAAGAAGATGTCTGTTTTATCCATTCATAATAACTTACAAAAATTTGTTTGTTAAGAAGTGTATCTTAAAATATATGCCTTGACATTTATGTTAAAAGTGTAAAATATGTAAATGTACCTACATAAACTTTCCCGTGAATACCATCTGTGGCGGCTCGATTGTTTAAAAGTCACGATTAAATGTTTAGACTAG